TAAAAAGTAAAATTAACATTAAGGAGTCCAAATTCTGGATCGTCCTCCTGACCAAATTATGACCATATTTTAGGGATTGCAGTTATTCCCTATATTTTGGGGGCCAGAAATAAGAATCCGTCAGAATAAAGGTACGTTTATTCAGTACGTTTACATGTACATTTGTACAGTATTATCTAAACTTTTGTGTCTGATTTCATAACTTAAAATATCACCTGCAATAAGTAATTAGCTCATTTGAGAAAAAAATATTTTGTTTAAAAACTACATATTTTTTGTTTAAAAAAATCTATGCAGTCAATTTTTCTTTGAAATCTCCAACGCCATTTTATCACCTTATATCAGGGGTTGCCAAACTTTTTTGATCATCGACCCCTACATAATTTTTCGAAATCTCCATCGACCCCCATAAAAGTAATTTTCTGTTAATTAAAATAAAACTCTATTAGATACTGTGTTTGTACATTTATTTTATGATTTTGAACATTTATTAAAGTAATAGTACATAGTGTAACAATAGTTTTATGAAAAATATATTAATGTTGAAATATAAATACCTTAATATTTATGAAATAATAAGTAATTATAAGTAAGTAGAAATAATAAGTAAAGTAACTACGGATTTATTGCTTCTTAATCAATGACATGGGTGTGTCTGGTGTTTTTTTTTTTGCAAGGTTCGTTATATTGGGTTCAAAATTGGTCAATTTTAATCTTAAATCCCCTCGAAACTCCACATTTAATTTATTTCTGTTCTTAGTTAAGATTGAATTTACGTGACTGAAACCGGCTTCAACCATATAGGAACTTGGAAATGCTATCATAAATGGCTGAGCTATTTCATCAAGTCTTACATATTTTTGCATTATATTTATCTTTGTCCAAAATTTGCTTATTGTTAAATTTTTAAAAAGCGTCTTTGCTTCAAATCCCCATAATATTTCAGCAAGCAATCAGGAATGTCAATGTTTTCCAAAACGACAAAACGCAGTTTAAAATTTTTGAAGATTACCTATATATTTCCAAGTCTTCTTTTATTTCTAATTGTCACATATCTGAAAAATGCTGATAATCCTTCGACCAATCGACCCTTCCGGTTCGGATCGACCCCTAATCGACCCCCTTTCTCAGATCGACCCCTGCTTATGTTAAATAGACCCCTGGGGATCTATATAGACCACTTTGGCGACCTCTGCCTTATATGTAGAAAATATATTAATATAAATTAACTATGTTTATTTTATAACTGTTAACTGTTGTACTGAACCAAATACTATGTACGTAATGGTTCGAAGAATTTATCCCTATTAAAATATTAATGCCTTTTAACACCAGCTACTGAATATTCAGTAGTTAAAAAGATTCCAAGGTTACGCTGGAATTGAAGGAGTGCTACGAACTTTTAACTGCCGATAACGCCTACTCCATTTTAGTAGTTCACCTTCTTCTAATCGACTAATTTATGAAAAACGGCCTTACTAATTAAAAGTGGCGTCAGAAAAATTTTGATTTATGGCAGTAAGAGATATAAAATATTAACGCATGTTTACTAATGAAATTTGTCAAGTGTTTTTTCTTTTCTTTTTTTACTTATAATGAAATATGTTTATACTTTTCCTAGCCTGACTTGTTTGCAAAATAGAATAATTATCTTTCAAATTTATTATTTCGTGAATGAATACCTTTTTCACTAATGATAATAAAAAAATGCGTACAAATAGTAATCAGCTTAGACCGATTTTATGCTTTGACCAATTTAAAGCGTCTAATATTTTACGGAATTCATAAAAACAAAGCATTTTTTCTCGCGTTTTTATGAATGAAATGTAATTTTAAAAAATAATTTAGTCAACAAATGTTCCAAAATTATGGAGAATTATAATTTGAAAAAAAAATTTATGAACTTAAATGAAAGAAAAAAACTTAAGAACTTCTGCCAAGAATTTTAGTCAAGATTTTTTTCTAAAGTATAGAGTATTGTATGTTCTTATATGACATGCTACTGTACGCATTACACTATATTTTAGAAAATTTTTGACTAAGTAATTTTTTAAGAAAACTTTAATACAATAAAAACATGCCAAAAATAGTATGCTTCTTTGTCGCGCGATGTTACGATAACATTTATTTTCCCTCTCTTAAATATTATTTTGCGATTCACAATATGTATATTTTTTGTTTTTATTTTTGATAAGGATTCTAGCGATATGGATCGGCCTTTATGTAACACTCTGTATAAAAGTACTGCAAAAATAAAAATCCTCAATGATTAAAATTTAACAAAGAAAAACAGCAACTTTTGTGATTAATTTACCCTACCTTAATTAACAGTTTAATTAAACATATTGTAATAAATCTCTCAGTAATAAAGTATATTTATTTATAATTTTTCCCATAATAGTTAATTTACTTCGAATTATGAGCTTTTCAGGCTGTCAAATGGTGTTCTTTCGTTATAGGTATTGTCTATAAAAACCTGTCAAATGTATAAAAATGTTATTTAAAGTAAGGAGTTGTGGATAAACTATTGTATTAGAAATATTATTATAATACTCATAACATTGTTTCCTATCTCATTTTATTGTTTGTTTTATAATAAAGACAATGATCTTTCCTTTATCTACTCCCATAAATAATGTCACACTTATTTTCAATATTTTTGAACCCTCCCCTCCTTCCCTTTATCACAAAGTGTCGAACTTCTCCATTCAACCCAATTGCGTGGTCATGATATATTTTAATAGTATAAGCTATCAGTTCAAGAACTAAATATATATAATAGAGACCTCATCGATTTATTTCTAACCTTTAACAATTTAATTGTTTTTTTTGATCTCAACGTTTAAAATGAATAGATGTGTACTTATTTTGATGAAAACATGTGCACATAGAAACATATTTCACTTCACTCCAACTTGAAGCATAGGATCCCATCTTACTTTGTTTGTGGCCAGATGTTTTGCCTCTCTCCATGAAAGCAGGTGACACACTCATTATAAAAACATTTAGTCCACCGATTTTAAATGATTTTATTTTAATTAAAATGAGAGATGTCACACTTCTTGTCCCGAAGTGCCATAATTTTGAAAACCAACTACTTCCCTCCAAACGCGAAACCATTTACGGACGCCCCCTAAATATCTTATAAAAGGTAATAGCAAGAATAATGCATAAAATAATAGTCCCAATTAGCGAGCACTCTAATACTTCATATTGCTTTCTTTAAAGTCCTTTAAGTCCTAAAATAATTCCTTACCTCTCAACATTATTATAAAGTTAATTATTGTGTGATATTATTGTATGATTTATTGTTTGAAAAAGACATAAATAAAAATTTATACTTATGAAGGCTCCCCTCACGTAAATTCATTTTTAAATACAAGATTTCACATGTCAGACAATGCTTTTAACAGAAAAAATTTAAATAAGCATAAAATTGATCTTAAAATTTATCTTTAAAATGTTATGTTAAATTATATAATTGCGGTGTACAGAAGAAAAAAAAGAGTCGAGAGAAAAATAATTATTGCAAATTAAACCAAAAATTAAACCATTAAAAGTCAGCAGAAAAATCATCAAGTCAAAAACATATAATTGATTTCTAACTGTTATTCAAATGAAATAAAGCTTTTAGAATAAATTAAATAAATTGTAATACAAAAGATAAAATCCTTGATAACTTTCAAATAAATTCTGATTTAGTTCATGATTCGAGAGAAAATGTTAAATTTGGAAAATTATAAGCTCCAACATGTAATCAATTCACCTAAGAGTGGTCATACGTGTACGGTACTGAATATATTTTTCTGCCAATACAAACTTTTCCTGCCTAGCATAGCGTTTCCCAATTTTTTTCGGCTGCGGAACCCTAAGATCTACTTTCGGCGGAGCCCCAACTTTATGAATTAAGTTTAGTAAGGTAATTGCGAACGGTATAATCTATTAAAAACTATTTTCAAAATATTTAATTAGAAGAATGTTTTATTTCATTGTTCATTTGTTTCATTGTTTAATCATTAATAATCCTAAATTAGGTTTTATTTCCGACAGCTAAATTTGCAGTCCTTCTGCTATATCTAGCCTAGTTATGATTATTTTCTTGCATATACATGAATGAATAAAATAAGATGAATTATGGTTCACTTCGAATTATGATTTGTCTATTTTATACAGCAGATGAAAACTGCTGTTCAAAATGCTTATCAGGGAAACATATCTCTTTATTAAAGAATTATTTTATTTTGACATAAAAAATGCGGTAGAAACTACTAATGCAATATTTTATAAATGCTTGTTAGTTTCATAATTTGTTCAATATATTAATACTAGAAATATTATATTTTCTTTTTGAAAAAGATATTTCCATTTCATTGGTATTTTACTTGAAACAATTTCATAAAGGCAACTGAAAAATTAAACAAACTCTAAAACATATAGGTTTTGTTTAAATATAATTCAGAGTTTTCAAAACTCATCACTGATTATTAAAAGTACCAACTAGAGGAACCCCTTTTCTCTCTTCCACGGAACACCATTTGTGAACCGCTGGCCTAGAATTTTTCATAACTCTAAAAGTAATCATTAGATATTCTATACATGGCTTCAAAGTTATTCTTTAAGAGCAGATGTGTTGATCTAAAGTTCTTTTCCGATATTAGTTTTCTAAAGAACAATAGCGGAATTTCAGTAAAAAACTGAAATGTCATTTACAATGCCCAAAGAGAGTATTTTCTATACTTAAACAGAAATCCACTATTTTTCTCCACTTCTTTACAATACCCGCTGCCTGCCAAGACTCCGAAGGTATATATTTTTTGAATCTTACTTTGAAGTATACGTGACGAAAAAGAAATACCTGAACGCGATGCTCAGAAACACATACCAGGACCCATTTTCTGAGGAACAGGCAAATCTTTTTTATTATTAAAAACGTTTTTGTTCCATTATCATGATTGCATAGGACGTGTCCAGACCTGAATCTCGTCTCTTTCTCACCCTAGAGAGGAAGACTAGGGAGCCTGATAAAAGAAAACTGAGGCCATGAATTCTTTCCTGAGGAGGCAAGATATATCTCTGGGAAGTTGTTGGATATATTAAAACGCTATGGTCCAATCTGTGTTACTGCCTGAAAATGGAGATCCGTCTCCCAGAGGTGTCCGTGATCCTCCAACAGATGGCGCTGTTGGTCATCCACACGTGCTCCATCCCTTCTTGCATCACCGGACAGCTGGAGTGGTCAGTAAAATACCTGTGAAATGTTTTGATGGAGTGAATGGTAGTTCGAGAATCGTGTCTTGGACATCATCCTCTAAGGATGCGATTTATCATGAGCAGCAATCTGTGATTCATCCAGACATTAATCCGGGGTAAGTAAAATATTTTTTGTTGTTGTTGCTTAACTGCATGAATATGTATTTTATTCATTTTTGAACCTTCAAAATCCTCTATACCAGCGGTTCTCAAACCACTGATATTTAAGAATAATATTAATAAAAGTTAAAATGAATATATTAACCATAGAGTTCATATTCAACGAATAATATGAATGTATTTTAATTATTTTCAATTAAAAATTATAAAGAAAATTAAATGTATATACTATGAAAATACTAGATAATTATACATAATATTAAGTTTTGTATTAACAAAGAAGTACCGACACAGCATATATTGCTCAATTTTTAAAAACTGCACCACTAAAAATAATAAAATTTACCAACGCCATCCATCTATTAAAAAAATTTAAATTATGCAATTAAAAATTATTATAAATTTTTATGTTACTGAAAAAATTCCATTAAATTTTTAAAATTCAAAATATTATTGGTTCCATGTACTTCGAGATGAAATTCAATATTTAATTATCATATATTTTTTTTTAAAAAAAGGGGGGAAATACTTCAGTTAGGAATGCATTTTCCATTCATTTTTTATTTAAACAAATTTAAGAAAAGGCCTGTGTAATTTTGATTTCATTTGCCTTATCGGAGGTATTGTGTTTAATGAATAGCTCAATTGTATATCATGATTCATTTAATTTCATTTTTATCAGTGGCTTACTCTTTATAATAAAAAATAACCTTAATAAAATTTATAATAGGTAGGAAACTCAAAATGAATGCACAGTTTTCTTCATTGTTAAAACAAGAATATTTTCCGTTTGAAATTGCTCCTCCTTGAAGCATTTTTCCCCAAATCAATATATGCTTCCTTGAGAATTTTTTTTGAGACATGCAATTCTATTTTCCTTCACTTTTTTGTTGCTCTTTGTCTTTTAAGTAATTATTAAATTATAAAAAATTCAAAAATTTTTGTTGCCTATATTGTCCTTCTATCACGTATTTCAAATCTAACTTTTCACACCAGCAGGCTGTCATTTGCTCCTCCCAAGGTAAGTTCAAATCAAAATGCTTCAATTTCGATTAATGTCGGACGTTTGAACTTCGTAACAACTAAGTAAAGCGGGAATTATGCTGCAACATTAAAACGTGAATTACCTAATGAATTATTGAAAATGTGATTAAAAAAAAAACAAATTATTCCAATTAAACAGTCGAAAACTTTGTTAAACTCAAAGATAATTTTAATACTGTATTATTACAAAAGCTTTTGCTTTCAACCCCTTTGAAAGGTTTTACGAGAGAATCTACTGAAACTCTTTTTCCAAGAGTTGATTGCAGAAAATTTAGAGTGGAAAGTACGGATAAATATGCATCAGTAATTTCACCGAAGCAAAATACGTAAAACTAAACAAATTCTTTTCACCTCTTACGCGTGGTAACTTCGGCTATGAAACTGCCAATCACATGACATTCGAGTAGAAAAAAAAACTGTAATCAGAAAAATTACAATTCCTTAAGACACACAACTAAGATCACGAGAAATCAAGTCCAGGCTGAAGTCATACTAAGAGAAGGCTATCTACTTACCACACTGGTTATTCGGCTATGGGTCTATTAAATAAATAGCAATACTTTTAAATATCTGAAAGAAAGTCTCTTTAGGAAAATGAACTGGGAAAATCCGGTATTTTCTGCAACTTCCTTTTTGAGAAGCTCAGTTTTATGTTTTCGAACAAGAACTTACGCAATTTAACAGAAATTCTTGTTTCCTTTCTGCATTTTTTTCCAATGCCCCTCTCTATATATTGACATTCGTCAATTGGGGAAGATGTGTTGACCACTCTTACCTCATATAACGTAAATGCCTCATATAACGTGGAACCGATAGAGTAAAAAAAAATAGTACAACGGTAAGAAGAAAGTGATATCCTTGCCGCTAGCCGGGATTTGAACCTAAGACCTTTCTGACGTGAGATCTGCCCGGCCAAAGCTTTATCTAATTTTAGAGATATTTTTCCCAGTGCATAAAAGGTAAGGGGACTAAACGAATAATTGTCAGAGGATTTTTTCCCCAACTTATTTATTTTAAGCACGTTTATCTGCATAAATAGATCAAATTATAGGTTAGGAACCAATAATAATTCAATTTGAATTTAAAATTTTTTGATTACCTTAGGGAGAAAATCAATTTTTATGAGAACATATTTAGAAGCAAGTTTTAATTTTTTCAATCATTGTAACTTTGCTAATGTTAAAGTAGTGATCAACGTTATATTAGACTATTTATGTATGTAAAAATTATGTATGTAATAAATTAACCATAATTTTTGTATGTAATAAATTATGTAAAAAACTGGATTATGTTCTGAAGAAAATCAATGCAGAGAAAAATTAATGACATTATTGTTCATGTTTAGTTGTGAATAGTGTAAAAATGTTTTAATATTAACAGAAATATTTTGTAGGGAGAACTGGGGTAATTCCTGATCAAAAAATGCAAACATCTATTTTGTGAAAAAATTATTCAAGATAGAATTTTAATATTTACTGGAAGTTTGAGGCTATATGAGAAGAGTCCTATGCCTCCTTCTTTTGTTTGAAAATCTAATTAGAATTTAAAAGATTTTAAATTTTTAGTGATCAGGAATTACCCCTGGTCTTGATCATTTCTGGGGTAATTCCTGATCACTTCTGGGGTAAATACTGATCACCAGTTTTTATTGTAAAGGGGCTGTTTAAAAATAATTATATAATGGTAATTAACAAATAAGACATCAGGATCAAACAAATAAACCAAAAAGATATGTTTAAGCAGCTAATAAAACTATTTATTTAAAAGCAAGAAGAAAGATTAAATTTTCCAAAAATCTTTGCATCATGCCATACATTTTAGGCAATCAGCCAACTCATTCTCATGTTCTGCTGAAACATAAGAGAGTTCCCTCATGGGTTACTTTTGCTGGATTTTTTAACTTCATTAAGTGAAAGTGTAAAGTAAAGTAAGGTATGTCAACTCAACAGCTCTGGCAACAGCTCTTACATTGAAATTTTCATTTTCAATCATTAAAAGAAATTCACTAATTTTACTTTCTAGAAGCTTAGTATCCTTTTTAGGCTAATAATTTCTCACCATATTTATACTAAGCTAATTTATAAACTTAAAAATTATTCTAACAATGTACACACATAAAATTGAGATAGAAGCAAGGTATGACAAACCAGAAATGGTGCAAATCAGAATACAGCCTTGTATACCGTTAAAAACAAATTTTGTGATGACAGTTAAAATATATTTTATAGTTGTTCCACTTAATAAATATGAACTGTTATTTAAGAAAAGACAATTAGCTATTTATTAGCTATTTTAAATACTATTTATAAGAAGAAATGACCGTGATCAGGAATTACCCCAGTGATCAATAATTACCCCATCTGTAGGGGGCAACATTTGATACAGTTTTCTATAACCAATTATAATGTTTACAGTAGATGTGAAACAATTAAACAAAAGCTTACACTATTTTTATATCAAAGAAATATAAAGTAACTCAAAATATTTATTATTAAGAGAAGGAGGGGGATCTTTGCAGAGATGTGCACATTTTGAAACCCATCTTTGAAATTGAAAATAGAGAAAGCAGTTTAAAAGATACTTATTTTGTTAGATAAAACAAAAAGCTATTAATTAAGTAAATGTAGTTATACTTTAGTAAAGTGTACAAGCATTCTTGTCCATGTCTCAAATTTAAAAAAAAAATTTTTTTTTAAATATAACTTAGGTGATTATTATTTACCCCAGAAACAGAGTGATCGTGAATTACCCCAGGTCACTCTAATAATTATAATTCTATTTTTATGGTAAATGCAATTTTTTATGGTTTGAATAAGCCAATTGAGAATGATAAAAGTATTCAAAATACATATTCTAACTTCAAAAATACTTTGGTTAAAGGAAATACAATTATAGAATTTATAGCAGACATTATGAATAATTATATTCTTTGACTCAAAGTTTAGTCTGCAAAGGTATTTAAATTTTCATACCAAACATGCATAAATAATTTATTTATTTATTTTCTCTTCACAAAAGAATTTTTTTAAGAAAAATATTTTATTCCTATATATATTTTTGCGAGATAAAAAAAAGGAGCTGCGATTAGGAAAATAAAAATCCTTAAAAACGTTAAAATAATGATAGCTAAATGCAGTTTTATAAACTGTTAAACTTTCTAGATTTACGAAAAATCATTTTTTTTCTCTTGAATTTAGCAATATCGTTTTTGTTTTCCATTTTTTTTTTTCTTAAAATTTTTTTTCTGTTTCTTTTTTCATGCATTTTTCTCAAATTTGCTCAATTTTATTTACCAGCAATAAATCTGTGTGAAATAACTGGATTTGAGATATCTGTTTACATTTTTCCATCGTAAGATCGAATTTGTAAAACAAAAACGTTAAAAAAAATAGACAAAGATAGACTAAACGTTAAAAAGAAGCACACTATTTACACTAAAACCTACTGTTTGAATATAAAAAAAACATGGATAGGAAAATAATATCGATTTTGAATAAATCTGCTTTTAAATCCTTTTATTGTTTCGAACATAATAAAAAGAATATATCCACTTTATTAAGAAAACAACAACTTTAAAGTGTTAAAATAGCAAGTAGAAAACCTTATTATATTCACCGTTTTCAAAAAATAAAATTTCGGCGAAATTATAAATTTTTGCTGTTATGTAATTTTTTTTCTTCTTTTAAATAAATATTATAAAAGGTCTAGGATAAAAAAGTTTTTTTTTCTCTGAATTTTCGATTTTATTTTCAAAATGAAAAAGAAAATTAGAATAGAAAGAACAGGAAATAAAACATGGAAATAAGAGAATATTTGAATTGATATAAAGGTAATATTATAATATAGTTAATATACTTAAAATAATAAAAGAAGATATATTATATAAGCAGGAACGATATATTATATATATCATAAATAAATACGTTGAAAATTCGAGGTAAACTTTTGCAGA